ATCTTCATCTTCAATTCAACTCTTCCCCTCCCAGTTCATTAGATTCCGCTCATCCTGGCGAACCTCCGTTGCCCTGGAAGGAAAAGGGTCTTCTCGGCTCAAAACTGGAATTGCGAGAAGCCCCCTTCTCCTTCTCCAGACATCACCCACACAGACTTCTCCCTTCTCTTGTATCCAGTTCCCAGGAAGAAGCTCGCCGCTCGCCGACCTCTTGCCCCGTTCGGGGAAAAGGCCAGCGACTTTCTTCGTAGCCTTGGCAAACTTCACACCCTCCGAGCAAAGGACGGAAGAAAAGAAGCAAACTGCGCCTTTGCCTCGCAAGGTTCTGCCTTTCGGGGTGGGGAGGGGAGGGGGGAAAGTGCCCAGCATTGTGCATACGCTTAGCGGTACCCTGTTTTATTACGGACCCATATTCCAGGCTATCCCACTCCCCGAATGTGCCCGTCCAGACCTACCCGCGGTCGTTCTTGGGAGGCAGACGCACACGGAGACGCGGCACTTCCTCGCCGGGGGGTGGGGGGAGCGGAGAAAAAGCCCCTCTCCCGCTGGTTCTTTTGCGCTGCCGTGGCGCTAGGCGCCGCTTCTTCCGCCACCGGGACTCCGCTCTCGGCTAGGCGGAGCTGCTTGGCGGTAGGCTGCTCGAGGAGCGCCCGCGCAGCCGAGGCGCCCCTGCCCTTCAGGACCAGAATACGCAGCGGTTCCCCAGCCTGCCGGCCGAGCGCCTCGAGAAGGAGGAGACGGAAGGGGAGCATCGGGCACCAACTGGGAGAGGAGGGGAGCCACATCGCCGCGAAGGCGGGGCTTCATGGCCGGCCGGGCGTTTCAAAACTCCGCGAGCAACGTGGGCAGGACCCTGGAAGCGTATTGAGGTCGCGGGTCGGGGTGGGTTTATCGCGCGCTCTCGCGGGGCAGACGAGGCTGGAAGGTGTCCGCCCCCCAAGAACCCTTTGCGGAGGGTCCCCCACCCCTTTTAACGACAATAGAGCCGGGAGAGGGAGGAGAGAGAATTGCCTGTGTGATGCATTCCAGAAAAAACATGGCTCACTGCTTGAAAGAGACCGAGCGATCGATGCTATTCATTTCAGCTAACCAATTAAAGTATAACTCTAAGAGTTAAGACAATATTTCGGGTTTCCTCGCAAATACCCCTTCCTGGGCCGTTGATTTCAATATACTGAAAACGAGAATGGAGAGAAAAATGCACTGACACAGGAGATACTGAAAACAAAAACAGCAAAAGGGGGGGGGGGATTCAAACGAACATTCGCCACCCCCCTCCCCAATTTCTCTTAATTTCTTAGAAAAACCCTCCGGGTTGCTTTTCTCCTGCCATTTCTGACTTGAGGAAAATAGATAAGAGCTTCCTTTTCTGAATAAAGTTAACACTTTTATTTTTGAGTGGTCTCCATCTGGAGAGCTGTATGGGAAGAAAGGTGAAGTATAAACAAGAAAAATAGTTCTAAAGAAATTGTCACATGTGCAGCAAATAATTAACACTTACAAACACTTCCTGCTGGTGCAGGACAACAACATGCAACCACACTTTCCTCCTTGTTGCCCAATACGGAAAACAGAGCAATAGATATTTCAAATGATTTCCTGTACATGTGAAATCTTCTGCAAGCACTTTTAGAACCTAAGCACCGTTTTGATGAGTTGAACTCACATCATCATCCATTTCCGGAAAGTCTCAAAGCACTAGCCAGAAATAGTTCAGCTTAGTCTTAGAATAGATGTGGTCACTGTGAGGAGCAGCAGTACAATACAGGAAATTCAAATCAATATAACAAAGAGAAAAAGAAAGAAAAGCAGAATTTGTTGATTTTTCTGTTTACAACTGCATCTTTATGACCATAAGAAGCAACATTCTTTTTTATTTTTAGCCTCAAGCACTTAAACTTGTTGGAAAGTCATATGGTAAAGAGAATAATGAAGCTGCTTAAGCAAAAGATTATACAGACTGAATTCTATAGCATGTGCAAAATAAACACATCTTCTATATAATTTCCTATATACGATTTAAGCAAGAGATGAAACCTGCAGTCATGGCAGTAAAATCTTTGCATTCAGAACCTTGTTTTGGTCAATATCTGCCTTCTGAGACCTTATGTTTTCAAGAGTTAAACGTTTGTTTTTATTTTAAAACTACAAGGTGATATAGTCAAACGACATTGAGCGGTATACATTTATACCTGTATGTGGTATATCTGCAGAATTACAGAATATATCCTCCAGAATACAGGCAGGTGACATAATGTGAGTGGCTTTGAAAAGAAAGGAATGATCAGTAGTGTGTTAAAAAGTACCTTGTAGAATTAATATGCTTTTCCAAGAAAAATACATGTAAAACCCCATTGTATCTCCTGCTATCTTCAGTATTACTTTCCTTGCTGTTTTAGTTATAAATAATCAGGGGGCTAGAACTTTTGGGACTCTTTAGCCTGGAAAAAATGGTGACTGACAGAGAGGACATGTGATGAAGCATACAGTCATTCACTGCATTGAGAGATTGTTCTTTCTCTGTTAAAACACTAGAACCAAGAAACATCCAATGAAGCTGACTGGAAGGAGATTCAGAAAAGGCAGAAGTATTTCATCCAGCACAAAATTAACCTGTGGAATTCATTATTTCAAGACAGTGACGATGGCCACTACTTTAGATGGCTTTAGAAGAGGACTAGATAAATCAAAGGATATCGGTCTTGAAGTTTCAATGCTACCTCTGTGTTGGGGACCACCATGCCTTGACATACTTTTTGCAGGGGAACAGGAAGAGGTGTTGTTTATTAGATTTTTAGATGGCTGTATTCTAATCATTTTCAGTATCCTTTTTGAAAAAATTCTACAGTATGATGGAAAACAATATAATACCATAAAATAAATGTTATTGTTAATTTAAAATTGGAGAACTATAATAGCTTCTATGGTGTTTTCCTAATGAGTTAAAAAGTCCTCCAGAAGCACTCCATTTTGACCTGTTTCTGAAAGTCAATAGGGTTGGGGCATGCCAAACCACCTCTGGAAGACTCTTTCATTAAACAAGCCACAACAGAAAAGGACCTCCTCCTAGCCTCAGCCCACCTAAATTCATGTCAGTGGGGATCTACCAACAATTTTTCCCATATAGTGCGTATCAGACAGGTTGATACTGGTTTAAGAAGATGGTCTGAAGGTACCTTGGTGCCAAGGCATATAAAGCTTTATAGGTTAAAGCCAGCCCTTTAAGTTGTAGCCAGGAACCTAACAGCAATCAGCACAGGGACCAAAATATGGATACAATATGTTTGTAGCGTCCAGTTCTAGTTAGCAAACAAAAATGTCACACCAACTGTATTTCCAGAGTGATCTTTAAAGGCAGCCCCATGTGGAATACGTTGCTGTAGTTCAACTGGATGGTCATAAGAACAAGAGTTATTGTTGCAAGAGCCTTTTGCTCTAGGTAGGGCTTCAACTAGTATACCAGCAGCCATGTGATCAGGACTGCCAAGTTATGAACCTGCTTCTCTAGGGGCAGTGCCACCACTTTGAGAGACAACATTACTGGAATCAACCAAGAATCTCAATGGACAGATAGCAGTTCTGACTTGGGTTCAGCTTCAGAATGTTTCTTCCCATCCAGCCTCCAGATATTGGAGCAGGACTTCAGTCATATATGTCTCCATTTCACATTTGCAGGTACCAACAGGCTACTCTTCCATTCTTGTATTCTCCTAATTCCCAAAGACCAGATTTAAACAACAGCATTTATTACATCTGATTTAGCAGATTTGACAATAGAGGGAGGGGTTTGAGACTTGTACATTTCTGTTCCTAATTTTTTTGGAATGCATCACACCCACAGTAATGTGAAAGGCAACATTTTATTAGCAGGAATTGGCATAAGGCAGGTTTCCCAAACCTGATGCTCTCCAATTGTGCTGGGACAGTTCCCAAATTTGCAGGGAGCACATAAGGTGTTTACATCTCAACACATCTGGAGTGTATTTCATTGGAAAGATTGGTGCAAGGGACTCACTGCCTTTTTCAAGAGTACCTAATTTGTTCAGCCACAGTCTAAACAAATTACAAACACAGCTACTCTAACTTCTTGGTATATGGCTACCTGTCTTGACCTCTTGTTTTGTAATAAAAATAAAAACAGCCAACCTGGTTTCCTACTAGGCTTAGAAATAGCGGAACCTTAGAAGTGTGCAATTATATTAACATTTCAATGTAACTTTTTGAAGAGGGAGCACCCCCTGACCCAGTCCCAAGTTCCAGTTCTGGAAAGTGTGCTTGGTTTACAGGTGAAATGTCAATGCCTCTGAAAAGCTTTGTTGACTCTCAGTGGTTTCTCACCATCTTTATCCATTCCTCAGGTAAATAAGACATGGCCTTCAAATTCTTAACAGCACAAATATTATATGTCAAAAATATATTTGTCAAATGGGAAGGCATACAGCCAGGCATCCTTTTCCAGTTCCACCCTGTTACATTCAGCATTTTGTCCGGCAAGACAAAACTCTCTTCCATTCTTGAAACCCAATCCTATGCATGTTTCTTTGCTTCAGTCTCATGCAGTTTTCCAAATATGATAGGGTCATAGCTTTTGGTTTGCCAAGTAATGAAACAGTTTATTTCCCCCTTCTCAAATATTGTCATTGCAATTCTGTGCTGGGTGAGCCTCATTGCCATCCACTAGTGGGAAGGAATGTTGCTCAGCACATTTTCCCATCTGCAATGTGACTTGGATCAGTCTCACCCTCATATTGTGGATCCATTTAAAAGATTTTTTTAATCCCAATACTGTAATGTATGCAATTAGTATTTCTACTATACTCCTGCAATACAAAGAAAAGTACCCTGCTAAAACCCAAGAACATCCCTTTTTTAGGCAATGACAATTACTAACATTATACTGTATATGAATATATTAATAAAGGGTTGTAAGCATTATGCCATTATTATAGTATCTCTTAGCAAAGGTACCATACTTACCATACTACAACCATCTCCGCTTCAAAACAAAAGTAGTCATAACTATTTGTGAAGTTTTCCAGGACATTTCAGCTGGGTGGGACCATATCTTAGGGCCTGGTTGGACTAGGTAGGACTATGTCTTAGGCCTTTAGGGCACACTGATCACAAATATACATCCATAGTGTTTTCCATTTTTATTTTTCCATAAGCAAAATCTGATTTCGATGATGTAAAGTTCTGTGCCTTCTGGGTCTAACAATCAGAGGTCGTAAATGAACATTGTTTCTGTAGCTCCAGGATCCAGATTAGAACAAGACAAGCAATCCCCAGGAAAAACATCCATAATACAACCCAGTAGTAGGTGGGTATGGAGAACCAGGCTCTGCAAAGCTCCAATTTAGGTCTTTTCGCCCTGCCAAGAATACATTTTAAAAGAGTCACCTAGTGTAATTAAATATCAAAACTGATATCTTAGCTGAAAATGAAAGTTCAGACCTATAGCTCAAACCCCAAAATATATTCATATGTGGAGTCCTTGGTGCTCTCTTAGCTTGGTTGTTTGCTTCCAGATATTTCATTACCATACTAGGTTACATCATCAGTGCGAGTGAGTGTGAGGTTTGCTCCCTGTTTATATACAGTAATTTGCCCTGCCAGTGTTGGTGGGGGTGTGGTTTTCTCTTTGGTAGTTCCTTGATTAGGGTATTGTTTTCTGCTTGTTTGTCTGGTGTTAATTCCTGGTTATCTGGGTATAGGCTGCTGGAGAGGATGTGTTCTGGTCTTTTTGTTTACTTCTTAGCTTTTTTACTATCTCTTTTGAATGGTGTGTAAATGTGGTTATCTCTATGTGTCTATTGATGGCTGACTTGTCTGAATGCTAAGCTTCCAAGAATTCCCTAGTGTTTTTGGATTTAGCTTGGCCTAAGATGCTCACAGTTTCCCAATTGAAACTATGATTGAGTCTGTCCATGTGTTGTGAGATTAAGAAGTTTTCATTGTATCTTCTTACCGCTAGTTGGTATTCATGGATGTGCTCTGCTAGTCTTCTGCCTGTCTGTCCTACATAGTGGCTGTTACAGTCCTTAAATTGTATGTTGAGTCATCAAGCCAATTCCAAAAATGTTAGAGAATTCCTGGAAGCTTGGCAATCAGACAAATCAGCCATCAATACACACATAGAAATAAACTATATTTACACACCATTCAAAAGAAACAACAAAAAGCTAAGAAGGAAACAAAAAAGATCAGAACACATCCCCTCTAGCAGCCAATAACCAAATAAACAAGGATTAACACCAGACAAACAATCAAACAGAAAACAATATCCTAATCAAGGAACTACCATGGAGAAAACAACACCCCCACCAACACTGGCAGGGCAAGCTTCTGTATATAAAAGGGAGCAAACCCCACTCACTTGCACTGATGATGTTAGCTAGTTGAGTAATGAAATGTCTGCAAGCAAACAACCAAGCTGAGAGAGCACCAAGGGCTCCATAGTTCAACCTCAGCTACATATATTCTCTTCTACTGGATATTCATATATGTTTCCCAGATTTACAGATTCCACTTTCATTATTAGCAGACATAAAAGCAAAGTAAAATAAAAGAAATAAAAAATTATGCAACAGTCCATCCATTGCTTAATTCCATATTCGTACATTTTCTATTCACTTTTTTTTAGCCATAAGGGCAAGAACCCTGGTTTTAAAATATAAAACAAGGATATTCTCAGCAAGTTAAACCCTGTACCTGATCCCACCTTCTTTGTTGCCACAGAAGCATAAGTGGAATCAAATGAATAGCTTATTTAAGCATCCTAGAGGAGCCAGTCAGATGTCTCAGAGAAGGCTACAAGCAGGACATGGACAATACTTGCTCCTGGAATTCATTGGCCATGTATTGCCATGTATCATGACTACTACAGTAATCACTGATGGTTCTACTGTTTGTAACTTCACCTATGGGCCTGTACTCTCCCTCATTGCTACTTTAAACCCATCAGAGCTAGTATCCATCCTCACCATGGCAAAACTTCAAAATCCTTGTTAAGAGGCCACCACAGGTGACAACAATAGAAGGCAATATTTACTCACAGCAGAACATTTTCTTCCAGTTCTTCACATTCCTTATTTGCCTCCTCAGTACCCAATCCTTCATTGGGATCTTCTAGACTTTTGCCAGTGTGGCTTCTGCTTCTAAGTTCTGAATCTCTCCTGGAAAAGACAATAGCAGGGATCCTTTATTGTCAGCTCCAAAGAAAGAAGCTTATAGCACTGCTGGGGATAGACAACTTTGCTAAAAAGGCCAAGGAAGCCAAAAGGAAATGCTCATACCAGCAGCTTTGTTGAGCCTGACTTCTGAACACTGAGTCCCATTTTGGAGACAGTCCAAAGACAGACAGTGATTAACTTGATTATCCCTATGGTCTCAGACAGCTGCCTTTGCTTTACACAGTAATCATCATAGATGAATCTGCATATGTCTTAATGGCCCACTCCTTTCAGAGGGCCACGTTTCTTTCTTCAGTATCTTTTTACCCTACTTCTCTTACCATTTTATGGCTTGCAACTGCTTCCTGACATCTTAGATCAAGGAAATGCTTTTTTTAAAATGCCTATGCTGAAATAAAAGGTATACTCTGAACACGTGCTTCTCACATTTTAAAATAATCGGAGCAGCATCATGACTACAGGAGTAACAAAATGAATATCTGTAACTTCAACCACATACATGACTCCTAGCCTGACTGCAGAATGATTTTAACAATAAAGAGTCAGTATTGGCCTCTGTATCTACGTGCTAATCCAGGGCTAGGTTGCCAGTGCCCCCGTCACCTGCTGATCCAGTCCTGCCTCCCAAGCTTTATACACTGGCAGAAATCTTTTGTTTCCCACATCAGAAAAACTATATGTCAGTGGCTAATGGTATCAGAAATAACTTTGTATAAATACTTAGAGCTGGAGACCAATCAGAGCTCTGAGATGTACACGGGTTGGGATATCTATGCTTTGAAAATGATTTGACACCTTGTTGTCTAAAATAACCTTATATTTCAAAAGTAAATCTGTCACAGAATTTAACTCACCTTGGAAACCATTTTCAGATCAGAATTATACACAGGCTTGTACCACATCTAAAATTTAGGTTTCTCTTAATATAAAGTCTTTATTGCCCAGACTGAAATTCTTAATATTTTAGGCTTTATGCTGTGTTGAGTATTACTGTTGATATTTATATGATTTAAATTTTACCAATTGTTGGTAGATTTTAAAATGATATAGTATATTCAGTTACTTGAACTAATTAACAAAATATTGATTCATGAATGTTTTATTCTTCTTTCTTCACCTCTCCTTTTCCTTTTTGTTTCTTTATTTCTCCTTCAAATGCTTAATAAAATGTATCTAATAAAAGAGAAAATAGTTGGAGGAGCTGCTGCAGAATGTAAGGAAGCATAAGTGCAGTACCTGTAAAACAGCTGCATCCTTTTTCAGCTGCTTTAATAAGTCATGTCATTAGCAACCCTGTCTTTAGCCTGAAAAAAGATATGTATGCTTTAAAAGATGCTTCACTCACACTCTCACATGTTCCAAAGGATCTCTTTTGGATAATTTTTGAAGGCCTAATTAAAGGCATTCACACTGAAATCATTTTATCCGTGGCAAAAATAAGTGTGAAACAAACCCCTATCTCTACTTTGCTTACAGGGTGCCAGGGCGCCATAGTGGGAAAAGCTTTGGACTAGATACGGGAGCTCATAAGTTGACTGGGCTAGCCCCTCTCTCTCAGTCCAACCTATACCAGCTGTGGCCAACTGAAAGAGGGAGAGCTTCTGGGCCATCTTGAGCACCTGAGGTAACATGACAGTAATCTTACAATTAAAGACAGAAATAAATAAAATTGCATAGCTACCTCTGGAAACAAAAATAAATACTTTAAGAGGGCTTGTGATCCCTCAAAAGAAAAGCGATACACTGGTTTCCTAAGACTGGCTCTAGTTTAAGGCTGCTCAACCTGAGGTCCCAGAGCTACATCTCCTACCTCCGAAGCCTTGAGTGCAACCCTGGAGACCCGCAAGAGTTGTAAACAAATCACAGGGGTTAATGTATCAGAAAGGGGAAACTGTTAAGTACTTGGGATTAAGTTTATTATATTGAAAATCAATGCATATTTAGCTTTCTGCCTGGCTTCATTCACTTCTTAACCCTGAGCTGCTTCCTTCTGGATCTCTCTCTCTCTCTCTCTCTCACACACACACACACACACACAGCACAGAGGCCAAATGCAGCCCATTTCTAGCAGAAAGGATGCCCGGAGATGCCTTACCTTTCTGCACAATGGCTTCTTTCCCTGCTACAGTGGCTGCTATTTGCTTCTTGCAGGCTTTGCTGTGAGAAGCTGGAAGGGCCTGGATGCAGGATCGGGTGATTCTCTGCAGGGTCTTCTTGGGAGAAATGGGACTGTCTGTGGTGGGGAAACAAAGAGAAACCATCACATCAAGGGCTGGCTAAAACAGTTCTCGGTGCGTGAGTGAAGCTCCTTGTGTTAGCTGATCCCTACCTTTCTGGACTTTCCTCTTTGACTATCATTCGCTTAACCACTTCTCCCTCAAGGGCTTGCCCATTTTCAGAGCTATGAAACTGCTGCAGAGATAATCAGAGAAAATTGTGAATGCAAGCGGAAGTGTGGCAAAGAAGCTGTGATTGGCATTAAGGTACTCCCATAATTGTATCAAGTCTTGTATGATTTAAAGTAATTTCAAGAATGAAATTTTAATGTAAATTTCTTGTCTTCGTGGAGTAAAGCTGGAAAATATAAGCAACTAAAAGGTATCCCAATTCTCTATGCCAGCGGTTTTTAAACATTTTGGTCTCAGGACCCCTTTACAGTCTTAATTTTTTTAAAATATAATTTTATTAGAGTTTACAAATACAAAGACAAAAGACTGATACAAACTAAGGAAAATATAAAAAGTAAAGAAAAAAAGAGAAATGTAAAGAGATAGAAAAAAGAAAGGAAAAAGAAGATATATAAAAGATGATTCCCCCCTCCCTCCAGACAAGTATAAACAATTTCAGTAACTTAATACCTTCTCTAGTATTTCAATTAAAAAAAAAAGATCCCTTCTTCTCATATCTCATCCCTTATCAATAATCAAATTGTAAAAACTCATCATTCAATCCTAATCAGCAAAAGTCTATTAAGAGCTACCAGAAATAGTAACATATGTATTTTAACCTT